CGGGGGGTGGTTATTGGGTTCAGCGGTGGCCACCCACCCATACAGTCTCAATGCTGGTGGGGAAAGGTGCCCAGGGCTGCTGTTCTTGGACTGGAGGGTGGGGGAAATAGGAAAGCTGTGGCTCCAGTCCCTGGGCTGCTCCACAAAGCAGCTGGAGGCATGAGAGCCCACAGAACAGGAGGGTGGGGGAAGGCATACTGCATCCTGGGACACTTGGAGGACTTCAACTTGAGCAGCACATCTGTGGGGAGTGGCTGTACTGTAATGGGACGAGCTGTGTTGTGCGGATCAGAGATAATCCTGCCCTGGAGTGGCGTAACTTTAAGACACATAACGAGTGCTTGAAGCCATTTAAAGTGTTAATGTGTGGACAGTCCAGTGGTTAAGAGCTCCAGAAGCTGCCCAAAATTATTGGGTAACAAAGCCTTTATTCTCAATAGCAAAGAAACAGGCTATGTGTTCTAGTCAAAGAAGAGTTTGAGGAAATGAGGGGATTAAAGAGATTTTTGACTGCTTTCCTGGGTGCAATCGTGAGCTGCGTGAAAGCTGTTCACATGCGAGAATGAGACTCAGGAGTTCAAAGTTGTGGAGAAGAGAGAGAGACTTTCTGACCACCCCTTACAGCACAGATCATGCAATGAAACCATTTTGGCAGAACATCTTCTCTGCCATCTGTTTTCTTGTCTGAGGTAGCTGGGTTTCTTTAAATGATGCATCTATGGCTTGTCAGGTCTATTCTGATTAGTGCTACGCTGGGTGGTTACAGTTCTTCCTGCTGTTCCTCAGACCAGTTTATCTTAAATACCTTCTTTTTGCTTGTACTGGTAACACCTGGGCTTGCTGCTTTGCAGGAAATGCCCAAAACACGAGTCGTCCTCCCAGAGAGTTTATACTCCAAGGTGAACCCATAAATAGAGAGCGTGTGTGACTCTATGGGCATGTCCACACGTGCAGTCATGTGCGCTTGCAGCAGCTCAAATAAGAACGGCACAAATTTGTGCTGGGGATTTTTGCCACGGCACATGTGCCTGAACATGCACTTTGGTGTGGGGCAAGTCAGGCAACTTGTGGCAACCTGTGTTGAGATGCTGCAACAGGCACATGTGTGCTCATCTGGATGCACCCTGTGTGTCTGATTAGAGGGTCAGGACATACATTTCAGCTAGAAGAGACTAGTGAGGAATAATAATTAAAGCAGAAATCAGCTGTTCAAGGAAGGATATGATTTGGGGAAATATATTTTTTGTGGTAATAGTGCCCAGGAACCCTAGGCAAGGACAGTCCCCACTTTCCCTCAATGGTTATGTATTGTACAGACAAGAAGCAAAGACAGCCTTTCATCCTAGGTGCTGTGCCTGGAAACAACACAGAGGCTAAGCAGAGAAACAGAGCAGGGTGACTGGATAAGTGAGCTAATGCTACGTGCAAAAGGTAGCTGAAGTGGAAGTTTTGTTTGACTGCTTGTCTAACCAAGGCCAGCATCAACTGTGCAGATCTTGTATACTCCCATGTAGGGCCAGGTTAATGCCTAGGCAAGCTAGGCACATGCCTAGGGCCCTGAGCTGTGAGGGACCCTGGTCCTTCCCTCTGCAGTACTGGCACAAATGACCCCATCTGCCTCCCTTCCCTTCCCTTCCCTTCCCTTCCCTTCCCTTCCCTTCCC